TTAATAAATTGGCTGACTTAATAACACAGTGATTTTATTAGTGGCGATCACTGTAATAAGTTAAACACTGATAATATCATGTAATTTAAAATAAAAACCATTACCTTTGCACCAAGAACATTAGAGGATGTTTTCTTCTGATTTATTAGAAATACTTTAGAAAGTGGTTCTACAAGAATTTCTAAAGCTGATGGAATCATTGGACCAGTAATGACGGATGTGAAAACTGTTTTTGCCAGATCTATAGGAGCAGCAGTTTTTGATATATGGCTTTTTCTCTGTGCTTTGGGTGCACAAGACTATAAATATACACATATAAGACTATAAATATAGACATTACTATGTATATAAACATTTTTATATAAATCTTGAAGTAATTACAAAAAAATTATAAAATAAAAACAAAACATTCGTTATAATGCTTAGATATTGATAGCAAAAAATCAGGATTTAAAGGTTCTTTAGCAAAAAAGCTAAAATCAGAAGAAAAAAATTAGCACAATGCTAAAATAATAGTTTAGCAATGTTTTTAGCAAAAACGCACAGATTGCAAATAAAAGATGGCAAATTACTAGTTCATTCAATCTTCAGCTATTTATATAAAAAGCACCACTTTGCAACAAGTTTTCTTAAAGGAATCAAAATTTTATATTTTTTACTCTTATTTTTTTAGTGGCAAGTCCTTCTTTTTGTCTTGTTTAATAATTATGTTTCCATGTGTGGCTTTAGCAAAAAAGAAAATATGTGTTGTTTCATTTCAGCATTTTTGATGAGTTTCATCACATTTTGCAAAAGATGTTACTGTAACAGAAACCCTGAATTAAGTAAAAGTAGGGTCATATTTTTAATGTACTATTTCCAAAAAAAGTTAAGAAATTATTCTTAGCCAAGGAGTTAGAAACTATTAACAAAGTTACCTGGTAAATATCTTCTTCTGAATTTAAATAATGGTCGTGAAACAGGTTAATCACAGATGAGAGAAGTTCAATCGCTGAGGCTAAGTTACCAAGCGGTTTCTTCTTCCTTAACATCAGAGATGGACTAGATAACACTGAAGATATAAGAAAAAAATATAAACAAATCAAGAATAT